ACACACACACACACACACACACACACACACACACACACACACACACACACACACACACAGGCCGAACATTCCTGCACGCACACACTGCTCGTTGTCAGATTACTTCCTTTCGTCATGTTGATTAATGCATGCTGGCAGATGCTAAGACGATCACGGCCATGCAGAGAGCGGCTGGACACGGAGGATCGGACCCTCTCTTGGTTTTTTCCCTCTCTCCTCTAAACCATCCATCTCTCCGCTGTCCTCCTCAAATCCCCTCACACCTGGCTCTGCACCCCCGAGACCTCTTTTTCTCTCCTCCCTCTCCAACTTGCCCTCTATCCTAACGCTTCTCTGTCCGCCCTTCCCTCCCAATTCATATCGTCACACTCCTCCTCCTGACTACCGTTCATGGTCTGCCTCTCTGTAGCCCTCCCTCCACACCTCTCTCCCCTTCTTCTCTGTTCTTTTCTAACTTCTCTTCCTGCTCGAATCTCCCTCCTCTCTGCATAGGCACCATCGTAACCACCAGTCAACAACATGTGTGTGCTCTCTCTTCTTTTTGTTTTCTTACCACCTCCTTCTCTTCAGTCCTCCCTTCCTGCCAGTCGAGCTTTGTCCTTATGCGCTGAGTTAATTGGGAAAACAAGGCAAAGCAGAGGCATTTAGCCAGGGTCAGTGAAGAGAGACGCAGCCAACACATGACAGGGTTAATCAGTGTCATGGCAGCCAGAGCCGGTGTCTGGCTCCCTTCAAACAGGCCTGAGGACGGCCAGACGAGGAAAAGAACTCATGATTTTTTTTTTTAACCTTTCCTCTTGGGTTCTTATTTCTATATTGAAAATGTCTAATACCTCATGTGCCGCCATTTCAGGGACACAGAAATATTTGTCCCACATACTTTGCCTTTTACGTCTGGAAATTTTCATTGAAAACTTATTGCAGGATACGGTGAAGAGATTCATGTTTCTAGTTTCACTTTTTCCTCTCGTCTTCTGTCACGACGTGTGCATGTGTACGTGCAGCGTCAGCCATCAAAGTCAGTGTCACTCAGCAGCTGTGTGTGATGTGTGTAAACGAGGCATGCAATGGTGGCATGTGAGCACATGACTTGCTTATCAAAAACACACACACACACACACACACACACACACCTGTATTGAAGTTCAGCGATGCCCTCAGCTTGGCCTGCAAGGTGTGGAGGAAGTAAAACGTCCCATGAGGGTTTTGTCGACAGCAGACGTGCAGGAAAGCACTGATCGAATGGACGTGGGGGAAAAAAATACTACAATCATCGTGTTGCAGTGTCAGATGTGTTCCTTTAATCCGTCACGATTTCACAGCGAGGCTTTTACTGAGATTCCGCTCAGGACCATTTTTCACCTCCACCTGCTTCGGCATCATCACGAGACATGTTGTCAAACACTTGAACCCAGCGAAAGCCTTTAAAATCGTCCCACAGCCCCTTCGGCCTAATTACAGAAAGTCTCCCGAAGATGAAGTTTGTATGTGTGAATGCTTGTGTCTGTGTGTAACTGTGTCTGTCCTCAAAGTTGTGTGTGTGTGTTGTTTCTGGTCCTCAGTGCTCATTACTGGCCCTGGCCTGAGCTCTTTCATTAGGGCGGCTGTGAAATGGAGGGACGAAAAGGGCCGGTAGGGGATCAGGGGACGGGGTGGAGGTTGTAATTGGGCTGTTCCGCTCCCCTTGCCTTGCTCAAGGTCACTGTGAGACAAACTCTGGGCCAGGTCTCTCACTCTTCATTCCCAGCTCTCCTCTCTTTTCTCACCCTTCTCCACCTCCCTCTCAAACCCCTACTTTTTCCTCTCCCTCCCTCCTTCGCTCATCCTCTCCTTCTCCTGGGGTCTTTTGTCACAGTAGACTGGTCCACTGGGGAGCCATAGAGAAGTGGAGGGGCTAATTCAGTCTAATCTCTTAGCCTCTTAATGTCTGGCTGATATGTGGATTTCTCCACATCCTCAGGGGAAGGCCTTTGTGGTGAAGGCCATCATTATGAAGTTTCCGAGCCCTCCTAGCCAATTATAAGAAGGGAGACAAATTAGTTCATCTCGAACTTGGCTCCAAAGAAGTTTTCCTGATTGTTCTCAACTTTATTTCACATCTCGCACAATAGAGACAATTCACAGTAAAGGTTTGTGATAAAGAGAATAGCCCAATGTGCTCACATTATCCATTTAAAGGGAAATCGTGTGTGAGACTTGCTGATGGACACTGTGTCCATTTCTGTGCACGGTCTCAGCTCAGAGCCAAGTTTGAAGTCATCTGAGTAAAGTGGTGCAGCGTTGCTTGTCGTGGCGCTGGCCAGCGGTGAGCTCGGTCTTACGTTTCGCTCTGATTAAGACGCAGCGGTGAAAGCTGCCTTTGATCGGAGGAAATGTCTGCGTAGGGAGCAGTTGGAATGCAGCGCACTCCTCTCTGCTGTGCAGATGGAGGCAGAGAGATAGTGTCACAGTCCATTTGTCTGGCCTCGCCACCACCGCTCCAGTGTGGTAAAAACTGGATGTTCAGAGCTCGTCCGGCCTAATGAAAGGAGCGTGATGTCCCTGTTAAGTCTTTAGAGACAACTGAATTATTTATGTTTGGTTTACCAAAATGATGACATAAAAGCTGAGAGGAATCAAAAGACGTTACTGTTCCACATGTGGTGAATTAGTTAGTCTGATTGCTGTTATGAGACATAAAAAAATGATGCTCACAGAAGATTGACGTCATGCTTTAACTTTTTTAGATAGTTTATGATGTTTTGAGGTAATCTGCTTTTTTGGGCCATATATGGAACTTTTTTTGTAGTTTAAACTGCAAATGAATTTAAAATTTCCACAGCAATTACATGCTGTTCCCTGTGGAATTTCATGTGAGTTTGTAACACAATCTCAACACAAATACATGTTTTTCTCTGTGTCTCTGCAGGCCTCCTTCGCTGGCAGGCAGTCCGGCTTTCTCCGACATCTCCCTCATCCGGATCTCGCCCCAGCGGAACCCCTCCGTGGGGGCGGAGTCGCCCTTTCACCCTCCGCACCCCTACATTAACCCATACATGGACTACATCCGCTCGCTCCACAGCAGCCCCTCCATCTCCGTTCTGTCAGCCACCCGAGGCCTCAGCCCCGCAGATGGTAAAGTGAAACATACACCATCGCACAAAGCATGATACACACACACACACACACACACACACACATCTGCACGCAAACTCAGCAGAGCAGAAATGTGCGACAAAGCCTCGAGTGGACCCTTAAAAATAATTGTTGGAATTGATCAGTGAGGTTCGATTGCTATTAGATGGAATCTCGATTCTCTGTATCAGTTTAATTCCTGGTTGAGGTCAGAGGAGGTCAGGTGAGAGGCAACCAGATCCATCTCTATTAAGACCCAGGGGTTGGTGAGATGTTATCTGAGTGAGGGAACGGGTGCTGGGGAGTATTACGAGTGTGCGGGTGGGTGGGTGTGCAGGTTGGGGTGGGGGGAGGCTAATCCTTTTGATCTGTGAGTCATGTCAGAGATCTCTGGGGGATGCATCAGTGAGCGGCAGGGTCACGTACAGTTGCATGGCACACACCGAGGGAGGGTCGGATTCAAGTTCAGGGTCGGCTGGTGGCGGGGGGGCTGGGGTTGTTATGGTGTCCTACAGGGAGCATTTGTTTCCTGAGATCTGAAGATGGATTTGGACTGTGAAATCAATTAAAGTGGACACTAGAGTCGGTTATATCATAAGAGAAATACAGACAAGAAACATCAACATTAGAAATGTAGAAGAAAAAAAAAAAAAGCTTTATATCTGTGTCTGGATTTTAAAATGTTAAGATTTCCCTTTTTTTTAAGTTAAAGAATTGAAGCTGTTGGTTTGAACAAAACGAGAAACCTGAGAATATTAATGTGGCATTTCTATTGTCAGATATTTTATAAACTAAATAAATCCCTTTGTTACAGCGCTAGCGTTTAATATTTCCTGTTTTTTACAGTACAGGAAACTACTTCAACAACAAAACACTAAAACTAGAATGACGCTCAGCAGAGCACGTCCGCCATGTAGTCCCAATAGTCCCTGTGAATTCAACCAGGCTGCACCAAATTTCACACGTTCATAGATATTAGTCCTCTGAACATGGCTTATTATTTTCATCAAAATCCATAAATTATAATTTGAGAAAGAAGTTAAAATGTTGAAAAATGCCCTGTTTCACAATATTAACCAAACAGATACAGAATCCGTTCGGTAGTTTCAGTGTAATCTTGCTTACAACAAAAACAGCTCACAAACAGACAGGAGGCAGATCTAAGCTTATTTGCCAGAGGTCTATGTTCACCACAGAGCTCTTGAAATGGCCTCATGACCTCTTGTAGCCCTCATGTCCTCACCCAACAAGCGTCTGACACTTGAGCAGCAGAGTCGCACTTTAGCTCCCCGTCTCATCTCGTGGTGTATTTCTGAGACGACAGATAGCCGGGGCATTTCCTCGACACGAGCGCACTCGATTCCGTCTCATCCAGGTCTTAAGTGTCTCACTCACTCAACCCGTCTTTGTGAGAAGGAAGTACAAGTTCAAGCTGAAGCTCTCCACCCTCCAATTTTCCATTACCACATTATAATGTTCACCAGTCTCAGCTTGCCTTAATTCAAAACAGTTTTTTCAACCTACCACATGATCCCCGTTTAGTTCATAACGCTGTGAATTGTGAATGAGGCACCTAATTACTCCTTTAATCAATCCGGTGATTAATTAACCCATCAGCTTTTGTGTTGTTAGTATATCACCACGCTTACAGGGAGCCTCCTTCTTCAATATGCAAAGGTTTTTTTTTTTTTTCACCAAAAAGTACATTTGAATAATGATGAATTAATTAACACAATCTAATGGAGATTTAAAGTGGGTGGGATTTAGTGCCACCCTCTCGCTGCCACACATTCTCTTTCACGTCTTTCTTTGCTCCTCCCTCACAGTACTCCTCTTTGCTGTGTGCGATGGGGTTCAGAGGTATAGTCTCGCCCCTGATCCTATTGTTGTGCCAAAGGAGCACCTGGTGGCTCACCAAGTCCTGAGGCACGTCTCTGTCTTCTCCACGTCGAGCGCCACACTGACAGCCTTCACCCACTCCCCCTGGTTTTTTTTTTTTTCTGCCCCCAGGAACGCACTCGGATGCCAGCGTTTCTGATTTTAAAATTCCGCAAAGCCCTTTTCTGTGCGTGGATACTGAAAGGGCCACATTACGGCTGAATGCAAAAGCAAAGCTAAGGCGGAACCGAGGAGACAATTAAGAAGCTCCCTCCTTCCAGTGAAGACATAATACCCAGATCGAATTAATTTAGACTTTTTTTCTTACATTCATTCAACCAATCATGATGCATATTGCAGGCATACAGGCCAGCCTTAAGAGGAAATCCCCTCATACACTGTTTCTTCATTTATTTTCTCTTTATTTCTTCAAATGGGGGGAAAGAAGAACCGCTGCACTCTGTGGGTCTGAACCGATTCCACATTTGCATCCAAAACCACAGTGTTAGTCTTTTCCCTCTCTCTCTCTCTCTCTTTCTTAGAATATTTGCATAAGGAAGCCCACCGCCAGATGTTTATTTTTAGGCTCCGGTTCAAGGACTTACAGCACTCTATAACTAAGGGAAGGACTTGGAAAAGAGAGGCATTCTGAGAAAGAGAGAGGAGAGATGAAGTGGCGACAGAATGGTTCACTTTGTCTTTATGTATGCAGATATATCTGGGCAGATTTAGGGCCTTTTGTTTTCCTTGAGTTTGAAGGAGCAGAGTCGAGGAGCAGGTTGCATATCTGCAGGCTGCAGCCCCGATGTGTACGACACACAAACACCATCTCTGGCAAAAGATGTGTCAGCCCACATACTCTTGCCACACACACACACACACACATATACTGTATAGACACACACACGGGCACTTTCTCCAAATTATCAAGGAAGTAAGAGGAAGAGAAAAGGCAGTTTAAGAATCGTATTGTAAGACGATCGGTTCTGCCGTGCTCGGCGTGAATGCATCAATCAAATACTAATGCACACTCACTGTAATCTCTGAGCAAGCATCCGCTAATCCCCAGTGAGGCTCTCCACTTCAGGTGAAGCTCCCTGTGCAGCTGTTTTGCTTAACTTGATGGTGTTGCTAATGTGCTCATTACTGTTCTGCTGAGCTGATTATCATCTAATGTAAATGAATGCAGGTTTATAAGGCGGTGCAGGTGCTCTCCCTGTCAGGTTTTTCTCACTACCCAATCACTTTCCTCCCTCTGTTGTTTCTCTTCCCTCCTTTCCTTCCCATTCCTGCTCACACCTCCTCTCTATCCATCATTTCCTTAAACATTCTCTCGCCATGCAAACCCTAATCTGTCCTTCCCACTCGTGGTTAACCTGTTTCCTCTGGGCTGACCTGAATGTTCTCTCTCTCCAGCCCCTCACACAGGCCTGACCACAGCTGAGTACTACCAACATATGGCCCTGCTGGCGGGCCACCGTAGCCCGTACACGACCGACCTGCTCCCCTCTGTGGCATCCACAGCCGGCGCTACCAGTGCCAGTGCCCTGCACATGGAATACCTGCAGGCGATGGAGAGTAAGTCTGCACTGATCACACACGACGTGGGACATAAGCACACGTGTTTTAAGTCTCCTAGGAAACAGAACGACATTCTTTTTTATAGAATATATATATTTAACTCACTTTTATACTGGATGTGTTTTAACTTTATACCAGGTATATCTTAACCCAGGGGCTACTACAGTAGTGCTCTATTGAGTGCCATTCTAATTCTAGCTCACCTGGTTGAGCAGACACTCAGGGTCGAGTCCTCTGCAGCGGTCACAGGTTTGATTCCGACCTGGCCCTTTGCAGCGTCTTCCCTCTTGTCTTCCCCCCGGTTGTGCTCAAACTCTGTCCTATCAATAAAGGTTTGATGACAACAAAATATATAGAAAAAGAAAACTATAGTCTGAATTATTCGTCTTTGAAATCATGTTTATTAGCAGTTACATTCAAACTTACATCCACCACATCCACGCCGACTGGGACTGCACTTTAAAGTGTGGTGAGTGCTTCCCTGCACATTATAGCATGGGTGGCCCCTGTGGGAATTCAACCCTTTAAAATGCACTTGTACGATACACCTACTGCTTCTCACACTATTTATAGATCAAGCCGAAGCTCAACTACAACAAGGAAGGACCTGCAACTATTACTCCGACGTTATTTAAATGAGTTATTGTCTCGGGCTCAGGACTGTGTGCAGAGGACTTATGCTAATGAGTTATTTTAAAGTGTAAATAGGAAATTAAACGCACACTGAATCTTAGAAAGGTCGGACAGCGTCACCCCAGCTTCCTTTGATGAGAATGTATTTAGTCAGGCAGATGCCGCTTTCATGGAAATCTGGGGTGAAGTTCCCCCTGTTCCTGAGAACAAACTAATTAAAACTAGCCAAACTTGTGCGGGTATCAGAAAATTAATTGCTATTAAGTGGGAATTGGAATGTCCCACCATTCATCACGGGAGAAATCCTTTCTTCTGTGTCACATTTTAAGATTAATAGACTGAAACAAAACAATTAGGACCAAATTTAAGTGGAGATGCGGCGCTCCTCACTTAAAAAAACGCCTGTGATCATTGCTGGTAATAACTCATCATGTTTCAACAATGTGTGTTCCAGCGTCGGAGAAATTAACACTTTAAAGCTTTGTTGGATTTCAGTAAGAAAACACACAAAGAGCAGAGTCCATCATGAGGCTTTCACTGATAATCTGGGCTCCGACGTTACTGCGGCTATTTTAGTCTGTTTCACATCAGTGTAATTACCTTCACAGAGAGCTGTGCTAATGAAACACTGGGCCTGTCCATTATATTTGTGCTTTAATGGGCTATTGTCTGTGTTCTCACTGACTAATTAGTGCCACAGCTCTTAAAGATCACAACACTAGAGTCTTTACTGGTCTTTATTAGATAATTTTAATCTCCCCGTCTGATATGTTAATGTGTTGTGTTGCTGTTTTTATGATATTTATTATATTTTAATAATGTATAAGCATTTAAAACACTAGAACTGTTGTTTATAACTTGAATGAATTTTAGCAATTGATTATATGTTGTCATACATTTACTTTAATTCTCCATAATTAGCATTTCTATACATTATGTAATCAAAATGGTTAATTTTGAATCTGAATATATATGTTAAACTACTAGCATTTGTAAGTGAAGTTGTTTTCACAGATGATGAACAACAGCTTAATAAATAATATAACATAATAATAGTATAAATACAATAATAATTCAATATATGATACAACAATATTATATATTAATACTATTTAATATATATCTAATAAATGATATTGATATAAAATATGAACAGATACAAATATGTTAATAATATGTGTACTCTTTAACAAAATAATATATCTATATGATAAACAGTTAATACACTATAATACAGTTTTTTGCAGCCAAAAGGACATTTGACTCTTTTTATTAAATATGTATGTACTGCGTATAACTGCTAAATAAGGGAATTATGTGTTAAAGTGTTATTTCACTGTGTTAATATTAAATAACAGAATCTGTTCAGTTCTCCTGATACTAAAAGGTTTTTATAATTGCACTTTTGATTATAAACACTTTTTATGTCCAGAATTAATGATTTCTCTTTATATTTCACAAAGAGAAAAGTTCTGTGCTGTCTTACATTCTACTGCAGTCCTCCTCTGCGTTAGCCTCCTTCTCTGGTGGCCCCCAGGTGTGTCTGCGAGGGTTCAACCCACGTTTTGGACACGGCGTGTATCACCAAACCGTCATTCTGGCTCGTCTGAACCCTCCTTGGCCGTGAGAATTAATGACGCGGCGCCTAACCAGCCATTGCGTCCATAAATCAAGAGGAAATTAGAGGGACAGTCCTGCTACGATCCAGGACGCTCCTCTCTCTGTCTCCCCCGGTTGGCCGATTTATCATTTGGGCTGTGCATTAATAAATACCGCTCCCATGAGGCTTTGCAGTGGTGGGACGGCGGCCCTGCTCCTCCGCAATAAACTGCATCTCCTAATTCCTCACAAATTGAGCCCGTCTCTCACGCTCATGTGGATTTTAAAAAAAAAGTGAAATGTAGAAAGTTGGATTTAGAATAAATAAATGAAATATGTGATTTGAGCTGAAATCAGACGTCACATGACTCACTAATGATTGTGTGGCTCATGTGTTTGTGTTCCCAACACCCCCTTCCCTATAAGACACAGCTTTTCCATACAATGACAATGTAAAGGAGGTGTCGTTCTACATACAGCCTCATGCTGTAGTTGGAACTCAGGCCTACGTTTTCCAGAACACCGCCGCCGCCACCACAGAGGCATCCACACACACACACACACACACACACACACACACACACACACACACACATACACACATACTCTCACATCCGTACACCCTGATTACCATGTGAATGGAGCGCTCCGTAATCGTTGGATGTGTCAAACGAGAGATGGAGCATTTACGTTTGCGAGATGGATGGATTGTGGGGGATGTAAATATGGAGAGAGAGGGGGGTGGGGGGGTTATCGGGGCTGCGTAAAGCTGGTTTTGTCTGCCTTTATGAAATAACTCAAAATGTTTTATTTCCAAGTCTTGAGTCACAAAGTCCTTGTGTCAGTTCATGCACAAAGCGCGACATCCCCTCAGCGCCACCCCCCCCCTCCCCCATCTCCCTCTGTTTTTCCCCTGTCTTGTTTGTGACATCTCCATGTGAAAAGACAACAAAAGTCATGTGTTAATCTCCACCCGTGGCTCATTGTATGTGCACAGAGAATGGTTGCGCTGTTTCCGCCTTTTACCTTTTCAAACCCCCTTTTGAGTATTTCCAGTCAACACTGATTGCATTTGAATAACGAGTCAAATTGGACTTGATTAAATATTACCATACACAGTCAGAGCATTCCTCCAAAATAAAAGGCATGTTTTCTCTCGGATGAAATGCAAGCAGTGCATCAAGTGACAGCCGAACACGCATTCAGACGAGCCTTTTGTCTGATGATTGACAAAAATGTCATCCGCTCGGGTTAGATTAGGTTAAAGTTTGGAAAATCACGTAGCAACTGTAGCTCATTTGTAGGAATGCAGCTGATGTCGCGAGGGAGCTGATAAGAGCTCATTTATTGGACATTTTAACCTTTCACTTCCACAGCAGCAGTCACTTGGCAGCCATTCGTCCCATGACTCTAAAAAATGTCCTCTTCTCTCCTTATCCTGCAGACTCTCGTTTCCCGAGCCCGAGGCTGCCATCACGGCCCAGCAGGAAGCGGCCCCTGCCCATCTCGCCCCTCTCCGAGCACAGCTTTGACCTGCAGACCATGATTCGCAACTCACCCAACTCGCTCGTCACTATGCTGAACAACTCGCGCTCCAGCTCCTCCACCAGCGGCTCCTACGGTCACCTCTCTGCAGGAACCATCAGGTAGCTCACTAAATATGATCGTGGCCAGAAATTATTCACACTGCTTGAGCTTCCCTGTCGAATGTGGTGCTATAGAGGCCCAACACGGAGCCAGGGTCAGGCCCAGATGGCCTGACCCTGGCTCCAGATCATCGATGCCCTTTGCAGTTTATTACTTTCAAATGATTTTAAACATGAAGTTCAGTTTACTTCATCACGGAAAACCTTTGTATTATGTTTTCTGTGGCTGAGGAGTTTCAAAAGATTTGGACTTTGCTGTCTTCAGAGAGCTTTGAGGTAATGGTGGTCTGATGTCCGTTCTGAGCATCTTAATTTTAAGGATTATAAATAAGTAACTGTCACGATGTCTTTCAGGAGCTTTTATTGACTGAGGTGTCCATTCAGGGACTCACATGTGCCAATAATAAATCCACCAGCAGGATCTCCCTGGAGTGAATAATGTTATAAATGATTTTCCAATATCATTGATCGTTGAAACATGAAACACACACTCCATCCGGGTGTCACCTAAATAACTGTATGATAATGTAGCTGCGGTGAATTCTGCAGAGAAAAGGGTGGCGGAGTGATTAAGCGTACGTGTGTATCGTCCATGTCAAACCCTCATGTGGGCGACCGTCTCCCAGTCAGCGAGTCAGCCTGCCTCCCCGGCGGCTCGTGTCAGTCATCCGGTGCCCCTCATGGGAACGTCACATACATCACGCCCTGGAGCCGCAGGCGAGCAGAGGGAAGCGAAAGAGAAGAAGAGCGAGAGGGGGAGGGGGGTGGGGGGGAAAGGAAAGATCCATTGCCCCACCCACAGCCATTGATCAGCGATCTGTAAGAAGAACCTGATCAATCACGCTGCGTGCTCAGCCACTGTCCCGCTGACAGGACCCAAATAACCAGAGCCAACAGAGTGATGAGTGATATGACAAGCGGATGGGCCCCCAAATGTGTCGCGGCCCATTGATTTCCACTCGGCTCATAATAAGATCGGCAGACATATGGGTCGCAGCGAGCGAGCGAGGCGTCAGGGGGTCAGGATGAATGGAGGCCGCCGCTCCCCGAGCCACACAGATCTGTGTTTATGTGGCGGTTCACCTGTGGTTGTACGGAGCCCAGAGGAGTTTCAGTTTAAACAAACTTAGCTCAGGATGAGGGTAAATAAACCGAGGGAACAGGAACATCACTCTGCCTTACTCACAAGGCCACGCGACACACTCCAGATTGTTTATCATCTGTATCATTTGCCCAGTGGAAGTATGACATACTGCCTTACACAGACCACATGATAATTCACTGTGTTAACAAGCTGAACATTCATTGGCAGGGATTTGCCGGCAGCCCCCTGGTTCCAGCATTACCACACCATCTCCTGTCAGATTGTCCTCAGGGATGCGGAGCTATCCAGAACAATCCATTTATTCAGTCTTTCCACTCTTTTGCCTCGTTTCCTTTGCGACTGATCTCTCAGTGAAGTTTTTACCATTATTTTCATCCTATACAACTGGTTTGTCCCTTTCTCTTCTCTCTCCAGCCCAGCGTTGAGCTTCGCCTACCCTCCGACCCCGGTGGCTTTGCACGTGCACCAGCAGCTGATCGGCCGCCAACCGGGCCTCGTGGGATCCGCGTTCGGCCACAGCCCGCCCCTCATCCATCCGACTCCAGCCTTCGCCACCCAGAGGCCCGTACCTGGCATCCCTCCCTCTGGGCTGAGTGCTAGCGAGCGCTCAGCCATCTCCAACGACTCCTCGCAGGTGAGCACTTCGGCCGGCGCCTGTGCGATTCATCATCACAGGTAATAGATAGCAGGCGTCGCATGCCAACCACATCTCTGCGAAGTGTAGCGAGCTAACGCGGTGTACAGGCAGGACCCCCCCTCCACGCGTGCATCTCCTGGGAGTTTCCTCCTACTTGTGTTGTCTCTTGTTTTCGTACTGCCGTGCGCGACGCAGAATGTGCCTGCAGCAAACAACAAGGGGCTTGTTAGCATAGAATCCCACTGCTGACTCCATTAATCACTAGAGAGAGAACAGGGATATAGAGAGGGAATATTGACATGGATGGATGGATCCAAAGGGGCTTTTTCTCTCCTTCCTCAACCCTTTCTGTATGTGCGGGCCCACGTTTGAGGTAAATATTCAGTGTATATTACCTTCTTCCCTGCTGGTTCCCATTACTCGAATTTTGTGTGATCGCAAATGAGGCCTCATTCAAATTGGCTGCACCAAAATTGCCTTTTCCTCCGTCTGAACAGACAGAATATTGCTTTGGGGCCACATCTGAATCTCTGGTAGAATAACAGAGTGAATATGTCACGTTGCATTATGGGATGCGAAACGATCAAGTTTTCAGGGAAACAAAAAAAAAAAAAGAAAGAAGCTTGCTTTTCTTATCATAACTTTGAAATGCACATGTTAATTATTTTATAATAGAGTGAACTCTGTGCGATACAAGAACTCCCCCAAGGGCAAATTTAAACCAGGGCCAAAGTCAGGTCATGGTTTCATGAGTTTGTTTTAATTGCACTGATTAGGGCAGCTAATGTGAATTGCATAGTTTTTAATTAGCGTAAAGCTCCTGGCTCGGACTGAGGATAAAGAATCATTATAGTTCAGCTACAGTTGTTTTGTCTGGCTGATTAAAGTGCTGATTGACTCATGAGGTTCTTGCATTTTTAATAATGCTATAAAACAAACACAACATCAGGAAATTAAAAAAACAAAATAATCTATATAGTCAATATCAAGGCTCAAAATGAAGAGGTTGTGAGTTGACAAATATTTTTCCGCAGACGAAGCCGACGAGTGAATCTGCAGTGAGCAGCACCGGAGACCCGATGCACCACAAACGCTCCAAAATGAAGCCGGAGGAAGAGTTGCCGAGCCCGGGTGCAGTGAGCGTGCAGGTGAGGGCTGTCTACATCTAATAATGAAAATAAAATGTATTGTACCACAGACATTTTGCAGCTACCTTGCAAGAATTATTTGTTTGGTAATCCCAGAATGAACCAGTTTATTTTTATACTTTTCCACCACAGTAAGAAGCTCATATAACTGGTCACCTGCCAAAATGGCTGCAACAATACACAAGCTTATACCGTGTGTATTTATTTACATTTGCTGCGGCTGGTTTCTCTCCCTGCTCTTGTCACTGAAAACCATCCACTGATCTTTAGGACACTACGAGGAAATAGTTTTTACTTTTTAGATCTAAAGTGGCTGTAAAAATTAAAGAGTAAGTGTTTGTATGTGCAGGAAAAACAAACCTCAGCGGCAGATGCAGCCTGAGGTGTGTGTGGTGGAAGCTGCGGGCGTTTCTGAGCCCACACCAGCTCTCTGCGCTACTCAGCCACCTAACTGTGACAGTGAAATATGTCCGGGCTAATAGAGCAACCTACAGCAGGAAGAGGGGGTTAGATTCCTCAAACACTCAGCCTGGTCCCGTCGTATAACACCCCCCCCCCCAAAAATACAGAGCGGTGCTTTCAGCGCTACATTTCCGCTCTCCGCACCTTTCTCCCCGACAGCCAAACAAGGCCAGATTCACGGGGTCACTGCAGCTGAGACCTGGAACCAAATCATTTGTGGCTGGGCGGTGAATA